TTATTTGCAGGTTTGGTTGCCATGAGATTCACATTCATTGTTCTGATAAAATTGCTCCATAACCAATAACTTTCATGAGGTAAAAATTACTGACAGGAACTATGTTACAATAATCACAGTATCTTTTTGCTATACCTGTAGGTGCATATGAAAGATTAGAACTGGAAAAAAAGAAGAGTAAACTACAGAAGAAAGCATACAAAGGACCTGTCATCAGATACCAGTCTGTTCTTATGCCATTGGTTGTAGAAAAACCAATAGAACCAATCAACAGTCTGGAAACTAGGTAAGAATTCAGTATATATGCTACAAGTGGAGTTGGGAGTGTTGTTGGTTGGTTGGGAGGAGGAGGGTATTCATCAGAATATTTTTAGATTTGTGCAGCGAATTCAAATATACTATTTGTAACAAACTTATTTCATAGACAATACTACTGGCACAAGCCTTGCAGCTTCAAGCAACAAAATAGAATACGCTAAACTATAAACACTGGGTGACTGAGTGACACCTTTGTTCATGCAAACCTGTTCAAGTGTTCATTTCAAGGCGACATCTTTGATTATGAATGTAAGCTGTGACTTAATAGTTCAAAAAAGGATGAATTGCGGCTAGGGAGTAAACAAACTCCAATCAATCAGAGACAAATATTATTATAAGGTACAAATATGCAGACTAACAAGCCAGACATAAATACCATTGTACCATCTTGAATCATTTATTGTGGAAATTCATTGTATGGTCAAGATATACCTGGCGTATCTTTAAATTGTCAACTTTACTTGAAATGCAAACGCAATTTCACATTGGAACCCTTCCTACACCCACCACTCCACTCACCAGTTTCAAAGTAAGACAACCCATATTTGTTTCTCATTTAGTTTTATCCATATCAAGTATACTTAATACTCAATATTGATATTCATATTCAATATAACATTGTTATTGTTTTTTTTCATCTTTTGTTATAGTGAGTCAGAGACAACCAAATGGAAATGTACAAGAAACTTTATAACATTCACTGATGAGGATTCATTCAAATCTTACTTTCCTTGTGTGAAACGTAAAGCCCCATCCCGACCATACTGCCCAGTCACCAGACTGCCTGCCAAGTATCTGGACCCTATTACCAGTATACCATACGCTACTACACAAGCATTTAAATGTATACGGGAAACATATGTACAGGAACAGGAGCTGAAATGTGATAAAAGACTCACAGAACTGAATGCATGGCTTGAGCAGAAAAAGAAACAGAAACTGCAATTAAATTGATTCGTGTGATTCCCTGCTGGTGATAATAGTGCCAGACATGTGTGCTTGTTGGCACTGACAATGAACTTGTACCAGTTTGCCTTAAAACTACTACACACCGGGTAATAGAGAAAGAGCTGCTCAATGGCAGGATATTATGAGATTATGATTGGAGTACAGTAGTTGTTAAACCATGGTTACTAGTAACCGTGGTTAAACAGAGAGATATCACTGAGAAGAGTACTGTTACTGTATGTTGAATTCAGACACCTAATATCATTTTAAGAATAATTGTTGATATTATTATTGATGTTGAACTCAGTCCAGTTGCGAACAGTTTATGGGGACACAAGATTAATAAATAGTCTGTTTATTTGCTTATGTCTTCTCCAAGGTCTGCAGAGTTGCTGATTGGTTGCTGTGTCTTAATGTCTAATTGACACCATTTTGATAGATTTTCTGTAGCTGGCTGTTTACCTACATGTAGCTCTGATTATACAAACTGAAATAATTGAGCACAGATTACACGACAATATACCATAACCAATAGCACTTGCATTACAAATCTAATGTAGTTCTATAACACTTGGACCACAGTTCAATACAATAACAAGAGTTGTTATATAGCAAAATGTCAGGTTTATGGTAATTTGTGACCTCATGAAAACCAGTTTTCTATTTTTGGTGGTGGTTGCCAGATCTCAAATCACACAGTGCAGTGAATTTCCAGAAACCGAAGAGATTCTCAATAAAGTTTGCTTATAAAAAAATATGTTGTGTTTTATTCTGCTTTGAGGAAAAATAAACGGGGGCTTATGTTTTGACTTTTGTGCGTGCATGCAGAAATGCATGCATGCATGTATGCGCGCGCGTGCATGCATCTGTGTGTGTGTGTGCGTGCATCCGGACCTGTATCTTAGACATGCCTGGACCAATCACAATCAAACTTCACACATACATCATACATAATATTATACATATGCACATCCATTTGTTTCACGGTCCGATTCAAGATGGCGGCCATTTTTGTGCTAAAAAATCATCAAAATCAAGCATTTATGGATGGATTTTGTTTAAACTTGATATATACGTTGGACATTCTGGGACCTTTATGCACATCATTTTATTTTTCAAATCCAATTTAAAATGGGCGACTGGCTGCCATTTTGTTTCAATGAATGCAGTTCTAGTACCATATCTCTGCCATGCTTTGACTAATTATGATCAGAACTTCATCTTGACATTTATATTTCTCAATATGGACAAGTACTCATTTGACGATTAGATACAAGATGTCAATTATTTTAATGTTAAAAAATCACCATAATCAAGCATCATCTTCTGGATCCATATTTCTGACAAGTTTATATTCCAACTATATTCTATAAACAAAACTATATCTTAGGCTTGTTAAATATGCATCAGTAAATTTTAATTTCAACATAGTTAGTTTAACCACTTTCCCAACAACTTTTCAACTTGCCATCCCACTTTTACAACTTTCCAATATAATCATTGACTATCAAGACATTAACCTTTCTATTTTTTCTTTTTGGCTTCTCCGTTTGCAACATTAGTGACTTTTGACTTTTACAACCTTTCAACATAAATTTTCAGTACAAATTCCACACTCATTTTTAGCTCTGCGGTCGAGTGATTGTCCGTCCTCGATAGTCGTCTATGTCAACTTTTTGGACTTCTTCTTGAAAACTACAATTCTTATTGCTTTGATACTTGGTGTACATGTACCTTGGGCAGACCTCTAATTTTGATGAATATTTTTGGTAAAAAGTGATATTTTCGACTTCTTGTTGAAAACCACAACTCCAATTCAATTATTGCTTTGATATTATACATGTAGGTACCTCAAATAGACCTCTCTTAGATTTGTTCATTTCATGATATCTTTAATAATTTGCAGTACACATTCAATACTTTTCTCAATTCTTTCATCATTCCACTCAAGTTTTACAACAAGTTTTTCACCAAACTTTACATTCAATATTTTCCGACATCTCAGCTGGCAATAAAATTACAGGTCAGAATTTACATGTAGACACAAATAAAAAATACACATTTGTACTACATAATGAAACCTATCGTATACATCGGTTACTACATTATCCAAGCATTTTGTACAGTAGTACACTACTGACATCTGGTTCTTGTGATCCGCAAAGCAAATGTCTATGCCTAATAAATGTTCTATTTGTAGCCAAGTTTTCACCAGAATCTATAGACATGCAAGTTTGAAAATAATCATAATTTCATGCTGATTAATATGATATCCAGGTTTGATGATAATGAGATATTATTGCTCGAGTTATTGTAATCACAATATACAGTTAACGATAAGAGACGAGACTAAAATCGTTCATTCATATACCTTTCCCTTCAGTACATTTCTGATTTCCAGCCAACCTTTTCTACTTGTTTTTCATGCAACTTTTTTGATTTTTCAACTTTCAAATATACTTTATTTTTACTTTCAGAACAACTTTCAAAGCAATGTTTGAAACTCACTTTTAGAACTTCACACTAACGTATTTAAAGTCAGTTTAAAGAATTTTCATTCATATACTTTTCTTATTAACATTGCAGGCAAAAATAAGATAATTATTAAATTCAAATAAGATGAATGCCAGTGTTGTCATTTTAATAATTTCTACATAATTATACAACGCTGATTTAAGATCTATTCAAGTTGATATACACTTGTCATAAGGGTCATTTCAATGTCAGATTTCTAACTTGAATCCATTTCAAGAAACCAGATTGTTTGAGTGAGGGGAACATGGCAACATCTACTCCGGTACTGTCAGGTCACAAATAGTTTTTAACCACAAACTTTGTTTGCTACGGAAATTATAAAGCTCATCATGGTCGCTAACACTAGGCAGGAGTCCACAGACAAGGCTGGATAAAAATGTTAAAATCTTAATAGACAAAATTGAACCAAATTTAAGTATCAACATTTTTTTAATTTTTTTTCATACATTACAAACAGCAAGTATAAATCTAATATAAACAACAAAACTGTATACACAAATTGCATCCTTGGAAAGTTAAATTGTAAATACTGCTGCAAACACAGACTATGAATCATGTAAACACAGCACTGCACCATTTCAATGAAGGTCTTATGCTTCGGAAATGCCTTTTGTTGGTTTAGTGCTAGTCTTGAATTCAGGGAAGGTATTGCAGATTCAGGTGTTACTGTATTTACTATTTCTCAAGACCTCATTCATAGTTTGTGATTCACTGAATAGTTGGGAATAAAAAGACGCAAGTATTGTTTATGTCAGCATTGAAGTGAAACTCCCGGTGTTGAACATTGATTGGATGCAACACTGCAGTGGGGTCAATTACTTTCAGAAAACAGGTCAGTACTGTTTATGTTCTAGTTTAGTAATAGATGATCGGTAGACAACACCACGTTGCACTGGCGGATAAAACAAACATGCTAATGAAATTGTTACAACTAACGTTATGCATGTACCTCGTGCTAAACAAAACTGATTATTTCCTCAATACCATGACCAATTTTAAGAACCATTATCAAGTTTTTGATTCTAACTAACATGTTGCTGATGCATACTTAGTATTAGTGCAAAACTCATGAATGACCATAACAACATTGCACCCTGGGATATTTTGAAATATTTCACTACAAGTGTATAAATAAAAGATAATACAGCGTACAAAACAATTTAAGCATTGTGAAACACAAGGCACATGGGCAGTGTTGGAATACTATCCCTGTTAACATGATTGATCACAATTTTATATTTAATAGTTTATTACAAATCAAATATTTACATAATCAGATGTACATGTCTAAATTGACCTGCACACAAAAATTTTTGCTGCAGACAAATCCACTCAGCATCTTCCCCATTCATTCCACGGGGCAAGTTGAAAATTGATAAAACATTCTCAGAGAATAATTCTGAAAATTTCATAAAGGTGTTTTTTGAAACTTTTTTGTTTTAAATTAGTCCTATTTACACACATATTTGTCTCAATAGTCATCATACAGCTCCTTTTGTCTTTCTGCATAGGCCTTCTTAAAATTATCATCAAAAAGTTCAAGGTCTTTCTCATCACGAATGACGCCCTGAAAGAAGTAAAAAAAAATAACAGCATGGTTAACTTTACGTGAAAACAGAAATACAACATCTAGACATGTGGTTTAACACATAGATACTCTGAGAAAGATACAATATGTGAAATACTTAAAAGTAGACAGTGCAGTTAAATTACAATTATTTTATTTTATATATGTTATTATAGTTAAAACTGTTATTGTCTTTTCATTGACTTTATTTCTCATATAACAGTTGGAACTTCTGAGTCAATGAGAATTCTCCAATGATGCCTTGAAAGATGGAGTATTAATAATTTGAAATGTTTGTTCAATTGAACAATTTGATTCAAGCGTGACAATAGAAATGTTATAAACTCAACTACATATCATCATGTTTTTCTTTTATACTATTGTATAATTCTTAGTTTACTTTCTGACTGAAATACATAATTCAACGAGGAAATCATTTGTGAAAAAGAAATAGAGCATGTTGTGATATTAAATGTTTGAGTGATTTTGTACCCAGGGGGTTGCCTGGTTACTTGGTAATTGCAGGCAGTGTACAATCAAAACATGAACTTCAATAAATTGCTATTAAATTCTAGATTCTCACCTTTGGTAAGTAACCAAGTAGCCTAGTTGCATGTTCTCTGAGGAGTTTCTGTCTTTCTTCTTCAATGACTTGATTACGTAGCATTTCAAGTTGTTCTTCCTCACGTCGTTCGCCAAGTTCTCTAGACTTATCAGCCGCAAACTGAGCACGTCTTTGTTCCAACAATTGCTCCACTGCACGTTTGTGTTCTTGTTGTTTCATACGTCGTCTCTGGGCATTCATTTGTTCAATACGATCATCTTCGGCAAATTTAGCCAACATCTAACAGACACAATGTAAGAATATTGGTTATTAACAAAGCATAGCATTAAATGTTGCTATTGAGGTCTTATACCGGGGGTAGTACAAATACTTTGTCAGAAATCAATACAACCACAGAATTGTTCAATAAATAAATCCCAGAATGATAACAGATGTACAACAAACTTTGCAACAAACAAATTTAGTTTAAATTAATGTTGCTATGGTGATACATACCTGTTTCCTGAATTCCTCATCTTCAGCAAGCTCTGCTTCTCTACGCATTGCTTTCAATGCAAGTTGTTCCTGGTGTGTTCTCTGTAAATCTAGTCTCTGTTTAATACGCCTTTCAATCTCTTCCTTTTCTCGCTGTCTATCAGCTTCTTCTTGTTCCTCAATGTAAAGTTCATTACGTATGCGTTCCATCTCCTCACGCATTTCAGCTTCACCAGCGATCTTTTTAGTAAGCTAGTAAGAAACAAGAATGAATCATATTTAGTGAATGTTTTTGATATCTTTACTGTTGTTTTCTGTGCCAGGTCATGATATATTCAGTCAAACTGAGTAGTAAATAATCTAAATGATAACTTTTCCTTACCAATTCCTGTACATGTGACATTGCTTCTTCTTTTGCTCTTTTAGATTCCATACGCTCTTCTTCTCTTTTTTGCTGCAACATAGCAAATTCCAGAATTTTCCTGTTCTCTGCTTCCAAACGTTCTCTTTCTTGTATTTTCCATTCCTGTCTTGCACCTTTGAATTCTTCAATGTATCTCTGGGTTGCCATCCTCTTCTCCCTTTCTCTCTGACGTTCTCTGTGATACATAGTAGATTTCAGTAAGTGATAAGTATTACATGTGGACAGATGAACAATAAGAATATTGTGTTTTTCACAGCAATTTTTATTTTCACTAATCAGCAAAATTAGCTTGTATAGTCAGTGAGTGTGTCACAAGCCAATCTTTTCATGGCTGCATACAAAGAATTGAATTTGAACTCTTACATTATATGTTAAGCAGAGTATATTTTGTATGTATATATACATACCGTAAAAACTCTAGAATTTTAACCACTCTAAAAGTTCGCTCGCCTGTGTTTTTTTGTGAGTTTCCATTATTTTTCAACCTTTGGAGTTTTGACCAAGCCCAGAAATGGCAGTTTTTTGTGACTCTGATAATTCGACCAAACTTTCATATCCCGAAAATCTTGGTAATTCACACCAACCCTGTCAGATTATTTCTGTACTCTTGTACTCGTCGAGTGTGAGCGAGGTCAGGTTTGCTTCAACGTAATTTGCATGAACTAAAATAACATTTCAGTCACATGTATTTATTGTTATCTCTATGAAATTTATTATTTAATAAAAAAACATCAGACTTTAACACTTATTTGACTTCCCGGTTTGTGTATTTTGAAACAACGTAGGCCTATTCGCAGTTTATTTTACCAATGTAGAAATTGCCAAAATCACAATTACAGTGATTTTCTAAAAGACAGCGTCCGGTAATATCAGTCTCACACATTTGGGACGGAGTGGTACACATCCGCCCGGACATCCGTTAATCCGCATATCCAATGTACTAGATGGCAGTGAGGATAGCCTCACACACAACGAACAGGCTGTCACCGACATCTTGGACGACACTGACGACTTAGAGCCTTGGTTCGAGGGGTTCACCGATATCCAGTAATGACTGCAACAGTATATTTTGCTGCACAAATCAAATAGCCCTTTTCAGGGCCACCACATCCTCCAAAAAGAGATATCATCACAATTAAGTCATGTAGGTCGTGACCCCTAGCTGAACACTTACTACGCGTTATTTTAAACAAATTTGTCCGTACTATCGTTGTTTATTCCACTTTCTAAGAAACCAAAAAAGCTTCCCATGTTATTCCAAAGTGACCAATATTTCCTCCAAAATTTCATCCACTTTCGTGAGTCTAAAAATTTGACTTTCAAAAAAACAAATTATTCAAAGCTGGTCGAATTTTTTTTACGGTATATACAATAGTAGACGGATATGTTTCGTTTTTGCCTATATACATCAGCAGTTTTAAAAAGTGTGTCCTCTCCACCCAATCTCTCTCTTTTCTCCATCCAAATATCTTAAATATCATTCAGTGGGTTAATACATTATGCACAGATCTCCACACCCTGTATATAATGTAAACTCACCTTTCATCTTCCTCGTATATCTTTCTGACAATCTCATCTATCATAAGTTTTTCCTTCAAAAATTCCTCATAAGCCTGCTGTTTTTTCATTTCCTGTTCCTCCAACTGTATTTCCAACTCTTGTTGATATCGAACACTTTCCTGCCATCTTTCAGTCTCTTTTTTCCTTCTTTCTTCTTCGGCCCGTTCAGATTCTTCTTTCATCATACGTGCAATCTCTGAATCACGTGACTGTAAATGATAGATTGATTTACAATATGAGAGAATGTCATCCTCTAGAACTTTACTATACTGTTGCAAAGATGAGTGAAATTTTATTTACAAGCATAGAAGACAAAAACAACACATGGAGTGAACAATTGTTATAGTCTTCATCCAATAGTTCACAAAGCCTCCCAAACCCACTGACATGATTTTGGCAAAGTGAACAACAACGTCCATGAGACATACAAAACTAGGTACCGATACACTTGATTCACTGTTTCTCTTGAAACTAAACATTGATTAATAGAAACTAACTACAATAAATGTATAAGGATAAAATATTCCACTTTCTATTTGGTTTCCAAAAAATTAATTGCCATAGAATATCCAAACAATAATCTACTGCATGAATTAAATACAGGATGAATTCTGACAACAAATGTCATACGATAGGCTTCAATGATTACTATTGAAATCCATGTTTTGTTCTTATCATGTGCTGTTTTAATGCACCTAAAACACATGAACTCAGCCTCATTTTATGACAATGTAGCTAGTCATCTCAGGCTTTTCCTATTGTGGTTAGAGTACCTAGTGATAATACTGTGTAGCACATAAACCCACAATGTTTAGTATGATATAGTAGCAGGCAATATTTGGTTGGTAATCAGTTCATAGTAAGATTTTCTACATTAAAGATTCATCCCATCTCTACATACCGTTTTTTCATATTTCATTGCTTCTTTCTCAGCTATCTGTGCTGCTCTTTCCTTTGCCATGTAACCGGCTTTCAGTTTAGCCTCCAATTCACGTAACTCAACACTGTTTTCTCTAATCTGTTGTCTCATTTTTTCATCTCTTAGATTATCAAGTTTAAGTCTCTCCATTTCCCGGGCAAGTCTTTCTTCCTGTTCTTGTTCTAATTCACGCTGCCTTCTAATTTCTTCTGACTGTTGATAACAAAATACAAATGAAAAATTAAACATGAATATACAAGCACTCTGATCTAGGATATAACTGAGAGAAAATTGTTGTTAAATTTTCTTAATACCACAAACTAACTTACTCTTATTATTGATTCTTCCATTTCTCTCTCTTGCTGTTCTTGCTGCATACGACGAATAAATCTTTTATTCTCAACCCTTTCTGCAGAAGCCATATTAGCTTCCAACAATTTCTCTTCGCCAAGACGTTTTATTGTGTCTTCTCGCAGATTTTCTCTTTCTCGATTTGAGGCCAGCACTTTCTGCTGTTGAGAATGGGTGAGGTTTCGCCTAACTGTCGCCTAATGTGTAAAGAATACTACCACTATCAGTAAAGTATCTAAATTAACTTGGAATAAATGAACAATAGAAACAATTACAGCAATTAGGACATGATTGATTCAAACAGCACTGGTGCTGAGCTATACAAATCACACATGCTTTAGTACTGTAAAATCAGTACTGCAGCTTCCATTAAAATGGTAGGTACAATCACAGTCTCTTTATAGATAGACTGTGGTACAATGCAACAGAAAAGATGAAGCAACTAACACATATGAGAAACAGTGAATTTTTTAGATCTCAATTGTTGAAAATAAATGAATGTGGCTTCTAATACACGGTACTAAATACACATGAACCCAACATCGTTACATGTGTGTAAAACAGCTCAGATTGAAATTTGTGAATACTTTTATTGAATAAGAGTTAGGGTAAATTCATGAATTGTGATTCAAGAAATCACAGAGGAAATTAGAATTACAAATAGAAATAATAATTAATTAGATAAAATAATAATAAGGCAGTGGAGTAATATAGGTTTGCAATAGTCTCACCATAGGTGAGTAATTTTTAATTACATAG